GATATTAATTTGCACTGACAAGGGGCAGGCTTGCTTTCTAATTACTGAGAGAGTTCAGCTGGTGTCTTGGCTTCTTCTTGTGTTCAATACTTTTTCCCTGTGCCATTCCACATTATTACAAATAACTTCATTTCTGGACATTTATGGTTTGATTTCTTTGTATGTATGGATCACTTGGGTTGTTACCGACGTCTGGTGAAAATTTCATGTCATCAGCACCTCTAGTAATATATTTACTGAGAAAAATGGTGACGTGTTCAATACTTGTTTTACCCGCTGTAAGTTCACTCGTAGTTTCTCTAGAGGATATTCATAAAACTTTTGTTATTCATCAAGGTCAAGTGTTTCATATGTTTTCATGTAGATAAGTAAAAACAATAATGTATAATTTACCCGTCTGTTTGTTTTCAGGCTGTGCATGGCTCTTATCTATTCTGACATGAGACAATTGTTCATTTATTAAAGCAATAAGTTAGTGAGGGGTGTGATGGTAATGAGAAAGCAGATTTATGTGCCGTCAGATCCATTTCCCTCTAACTCTGTCATCAGCTAATAGCTGTTACAGGTTTGAACAATGCAGAGGGTTTTAATTGTGAATTAAACTTTAGCCAAAATAATTGTTTATTTGGGGATATTGTTGTGTTCAGCTGCACGGAAACTGCAGAAAAATCAATGGTGTTTAATGCATCTTTGGCTTTTTTGGCTCTGCAAATCTTTGGGGAGTGTTTTAACTTTCTCTCTCACACGTTACACACACACACACACACACACACACACACATACACACACACACACACACACACAGCACAGCACAGCACAGCACAGCACACCACAGTCCTGCCATGAGAACAAATAAGGACAACTTTTTTTGTTTTGTTGTTTGTCTCAGTTTATCTAAAGTGTTACCCTGAGTAATGAGTTATACACTGAAAAAAAGGACTTACACAATGGGTCAAAGCAAACGCAACAGACCTTTGTCGCTTTTTATCAAGAGTAATTTGAGGAGGCACTCAGAAATAAACACCCTTAGAAAAAAAATTAGCACAAAAAGTAAGGAAAAATTTGTGTTTGGTAGGATATTTCTTTGTTGTAAAAAAAAGCTTCTGGCGATACTGTTGGAAAGCCTGTTAGTTTCCCCTTTAAATGATGCCACATTTGTAAGGAGCATGCATTTGTGGGATGAGCAGTAGAGCTGTGTGCGTTGCACACACAAAACATTTGCCAAATCCTATCTGCCAAACAGTTTATTTTGCTGTTGTCGTTGATACTTGTTTTGAGCTACTGGTACACCATGCTACCAATTTATTGTTGAGAAGCATTGTTACAACAAAGAGATTTGTTGTAACAATTTAATTTTTATTAAATTTCCTAAATTTTTGTGAAAAAAAATCACAAAAATTCAGCAAATTTAATGACGTAATATACATAATAATATACATATACAATAAAAGCCTAGAATTTCTTTTTTTATTGTCTTTTTATCTTTTTTTACCATCTTATCCTGTCCAGCAGTGTGACAAWCAGAATCATCAAACTGTAGCTCAGCATCATAACAGTGATCGAGTTATAGACTCTTCTGTGTTGGCCATGATTCGGGGTGCTGGCCATCAGTTTCAATGGTTTTACTGTCAAGTTTTATTTAAATCTGTCCAATTGGAGAATTGTSTTGGGGTTTGTTTGCTACTGACTTTTAAAATGCACATTTTGTGGTCTTTTCTTAGGTGAAAATTGCTATTTTTATTGTGTAATTATTAAACTGGTGATTTTATGCACAGACTGGTCTGAGTGGCAGTTGTACTCTGACATAACACAGTGGTTCAAGAGAAATTTTTGCCCTGCCCTAAATTAGCT